TGTCGTACTTTCGCTAGCTGCACGTGTCTCCGCTCCTGCTATAGGATATCATGTCGTACTTTCACTAGCTGCACGTGTCTCCGCTCCTGCTATAGGATATCATGTCGTACTTTCGCTAGCTGCACGTGTATCCGCTCCTGCTATAGGATATCATGTCGTACTTTCACTAGCTGCACATGTCTCCGCTCCTGCTATAGGATATCATGTCGTACTTTTACTCACTACATGTGTCTCCGCTCCTGCTGTAGGATGTCCTGTCGCACTTTCACTAGCTGCACATGTCTCCGCTCCTGCTATAGGATATCATGTCGTACTTTTACTCACTACATGTGTCTCCGCTCCTGCTGTAGGATGTCCTGTCGCACTTTCACTAGCTGCACGTGTCTCCGCTCCTGCTATAGGATATCATGTCGTACTTTTACTCACTACATGTGTCTCCGCTCCTGCTGTAGGATGTCCTGTCGAACTTTTACTAGCTACACGTTGTCTCCGCTCCTGCTATAGGATATCATGTCGTACTTTTACTCACTACATGTATCTCCGCTCCTACTATAGGATATAATGTTGTACTTTCACTCGCTACATGTGTCTCCGCTCCTACTGTAGTATATGATGTCGTACTTTCCCTCGCTACATGTGTCTCCGCTCCTGCTGTAGGATATCATGTCGTACTTTTACTCGCTACATGTGTCTGCGCTCCTGCTATAGGATATCATGTCGTACTTTCACTCGCTACATGTGACTCCTCTCCTGCTATAGGATGTCCTGTCGTGCTTTCACTCGCTACACGTATCTCCGCTCCTGCTATAGGGTGTCAAGTTGTACTTTCACTCACTACACGCGTCTTTGCTACTGATATAGGATGTGAAGTCTTACTTTCACTCGCTACACGTGTCTCTGCTACTGCTATAGGATGTCCTGTCGTACTTTCACTCGCTACGCGTGTTTCTGCTCCTGCTATAGGATGTCAAGTCGTACTTTCACTCGCTACACGTGTCTCCGCTTCTGCTATGGGGTGTCAAGTTATACTTTCACTCACTACACGCGTCTTCGCTACTGATATAGGATGTCAAGTCTTACTTTCACTCGCTACACGTGTCTCTGCTTCTGCTATGGGATGTCAAGTCGTACTTTCACTCGCTACACGTGTCTCCGCTCCTGCTATAATGTGTACGCTTCTCTTGTTTACAAATCAGCTTCTCTTTGGTGAAGTACCAAGTTACTATCCCACTACTTCCTCCTGTATGTTGAGATAACGAAGTGAACTACTAAAGTGTCTCTTACCTTCTCTCGTCTGCTGAGATAATGACGTAAACTTCTGTTTGTGAACCACAGCCGAGTCCATTTATATGTCCTCTACAGTAAACCTCTGTGTGTCTGTGTCCCCAGCTGGGTCCAATCTAAATGTCATCTACAGGAAAGGTCTGTGTTCCAAGCCGCGTCCAATCTAAATGTTTATCTACAGTAAACCTCTGTGTGTCTGTGTTCCCAGCCGCGTCCAATCTAAATGTCATCTACAGTAAACCTCTGTGTGTCTGTGTTCCCAGCCGCGTCTAATCTAAATGTCATCTACAGTAGACCTCTGTGTGTCTGTATCCCAAGCCGAGTCTAAATGTCATCTACAGTAAACCTCTGTGTGTCTGTATCCCCAGCCGAGTGCACTTAATGTTATCTACAGTAGACCTCTGTTATCTGTGTCCCTAGTCGAGTCCAGTTAATGCCATCTACAGTAGACCTCTGTGTGTCTGAATCCCCAGCCGAGTTACTTAATGTCATCTACAGTAGACCTCTGAGTATCTGTGTCCCCAGCCGAGTCCAGTTAATGTCATCTACAATAGACCTCTGTGTGTCTGTGTCCCCAGCCGCGACCAATCTAAATGTCATCTACAGTAGATTGTGTGTCTGTGTCCCCAGACTGGACAAGCTGCGCGGTGGTGGCATCCTGGAGGCGATCAAGGGAATAGAAAGTACATACAACAACAGAAGCAGGAACAGAATGACAACCATTGGAGAAGACAACTCTAGGACCTTGACCTCAAGTTTAAGCTCCTGTACTGCTTCCGAGGCAAACTCTGTGGAGACCAGGTCGCACTTGCAGTCTGAATCGATGAAGTGTGTAGCAGATGCGCAGTGCCAAGCTTTTACTAGGTGTCGCCAAAGTGGTGGAGCACCCAGTGAAAACACTAGCATGTTTTTCGACACTAAGGATGTTGGGACCAGAGGACAGATGAACAGATACCCCGACACCCGGTCGTTCAAACCTTTAACGGGTGCAGCCGGTCTGGGAGGGGGGTCATTGTCTTACAATCGGGTCGAAGATGACGACAGCGATGACGACGACTGCGGCCCTAGTGCCGTGGGTCGGAAAGTCGTCAGACAAGACGAGGGCAAGTTACAGCAGCTGCCCAACGTTCAGAGACCGAAGTGCTACAGCAAACAGTACGGTCCTCGATTCTCACATTTACTGTGAGACCAACCATGAACTACAGCCGTCTGTGTGAGTTCTGTGGAACGCTACCAGATTCGCGTTAGAATTGTGTCTTACCGCTTCTACAGATGTGTTGCCTCAATTTATTAGAGATATGTTTGTAATCTTCTGAACAGGACTAAGTTCTTGAACTTAGATCAGAGTTTAGCTGCGATATTACACATGTACAGACAGTTTTACTGAGATATATTTCCAGCTCTACCCTGGTGCCTAGAGATCCTCCAGTGGTATTTCTTCTTCCACTTTCTAGCCATTGTTTACAGTGTGTATCTTAAAACAAAATGGCTGACTCGGCATAAAAAAACGTGCAGCTGTCCACACATTCTATCGTCATCTAGTTGTGTGTGTAGTGTTCACTCACACATTGTCTTATCTCTTGTCTACTCATATGCGTAAAGTTCATAAATCACATTCCCTCGTATAGTCATATGTGTAAAGCTCATACATCGTCTTTCCTCGTCAAGTCATGTGTGTAAAGTTAATTCATTGCCTTTTCTCGTCAAGTCATATGTGTAAAGTTTATACATCGCCTTCCTCATCTAGTCATATGTGTAAAGTAATTCATTCCCTTTCCTCGTCAAGTCATATGTGTAAGGCTCGTACATTGCCTTCCCTTGTTTGGTCATATGTATAAAGTTCCTAGGTCGCCTTCCCTCGTCTAGTCTGTGTAAAGTTCATATATTGCCTTCCCTTTCTAATCATACTATAAAATTCATGCAGTGTCTATTCTTGTCTAGTCGTATGTGTAAAGTCCATGTATTGCCTTCCATTGTCTAGTCGTATGGGCACAGTTCACACATTGACTTCCCACGTCTATTCATGTGTGTAGAGCTGTTACATCGGCTCCTCTGGTCTAGTTGCGTGTGTTTTGTTGCCCTGTTGTCCGAATCGCCCATTTTATACTTTGGGTTGTAGTTACTTTGTTGTCTGCTCCCTATTTTACCTGCTTCCCAGAATCTTGTGAATACTTTAAGACTATGAAATTCCAGCAATTGGTTATCTGATAATCCGTTATTGAATGTAAAGATGCAGTACGGCCATGTTTCTTTTCTTCTGTCATCTAGTGCCCTGTTGTCTCATGGCTTTGTCCTTAGCTCTCATGCCCTGTGGTGCGAAGGCACCCATCACTCATGTTGATGCCATTCTACACTCACTGATAATGCCTCATTGAGGTGTGTGTGTGTGTTTTTTTTTTCCTGCAGCATTCCCGCCTTCTTACAAGTACAAACAAGAATAAACACAATTTTGTATTTAGAGTTTCATGTTGTACCATAGGAGCTTATTGTCATTTTTACAAATTCCTCTTCTACTGTTGGATAAACTGGTTTCTAATGGTCATATTTCGTGTCTCCTCATTTATCCTAACCTAACTGAGATACCTTTCCCCCTCTACCCTGGTGCCTGGAGATCCTCCCACGATGTTTCTTCTCCAACTTTCTAGCATTTTGTTTTTAAATGCATCTTTCATTACTGTTCAGTTTTCATTCTTTTTTCAACATAAGCGAAGTCATCAAACACTCACTTTTAGGTTGTAACATTCCGTTATTTAATGTAAAGATACAGTACTGCCATGTTTCTTTTCTTCTGTCATCTAGTGCCCTGTTGTCTCATGGCTTTGTCCTTAGCTCTCATGCCCTGTGGTGCGAAGGCACCCATCACTCGTATTGATGCTATGCTACAGTCACTGGTAACCTACAATTACAATACACAGCCTAAAGAAATATATGAGTGCCCTTGAATCGGAAGCTTTCCATTTGTTTGACTTGTGGCATAACACATGATGAACTGGTCTAGGAGTGATCGCGGACGATTCTTGCCAATTTCTGTTTGAGTTTGGCATTTCGTAGTTGAACTTTTATTTTAACAACATCCAGTTTAATTGCCACCTCTTAACATTAAATGTTGCCTCCTTTATTGAAATTATACCTGTTTACATAATTATGCATATACACGTGATCTCAAGTATTAGCGCATTGTGCTTGTTTAAATGAAGTTATGATTGTTTTAATGAAATTTAAATTATATTTATTTATATGGCATTATACCTGTTTACAAGAAATTATACCTGTTTACATGAAATGTTACATGTTTATAATAAATTATACTACTAACAGCTGCATGGGACTAAAATCGCTGAACTGTCAATGTGTGCTACCATATTTCTCTGTAAACAGTCTGTCAGCGCTACCATAATTCTCTGGAAACGGTGTATGTGCTCTATCATAATTCACTGTAAACAATCTGTGATCACTACGATAATTCACTGTAAATAATCTGTGATCACTACCATAATTCACTGTTAACAATCTGTGAGCGCTACCCTAATTCCCTGTGAACAGTTTGTGAGCACTATCATAATTCACTGTAAACAGTATGTGGGCGCTTTTATAATTCACTGTAAAAATTTTGTGAGTGCTACCATAATTTTCCGTAAACAAAACAATCTGTGAGCGCTACCATAATTCCCTTAAACAGTTTGTGAGCACTATCACAATTCATTGTAAACAGTATGTGGGCGCTTCTATAATTCACTGTAAACAATCTGTGAGCGCTGCCATAATTTTCTGTAAACAATTTGTGCGCGTTACCATAATTCTCTGATCAAAATTTGTGATCGTAACCATAATTCTCGGTAAACAATCTGTGTACGCTACCATAGTTCTGTGTATACAATCTGTGACCACTGCCGTAGTCCTCAGAAAATAATATGTGAGCGCTACCATAGTTCTCTGTAAACAATCTGTGAGCACTACCATAATTCTCTGTAAACAATCTTCCTTCTTAGCGAAGATTTTATTTTAATACCTCAAGTGGTTTTCACCCAGCAACTGGTAACAATTCTTGTCATCTGATATTGATATTGCTTATATTAATGATATTATTGATATCCTTAAGATTGTATTGCCATGTATTGCCTTATATTTTCCACCACTAGGATAATCACCTACTAAGTTTCTAGTTTAGATGTGCCCTATACACTGTATTTCTACAGCAGCCTTTCATATCGTTTAATTAACAATTTAGAAAGTCGATTCTCAATATAATCAATGTCTGCTTTCTTCTCAACATTCTTCGCAGTCTTGTATATTCGCAGCATCCTTCTCTGTCTTGTATATTCGCAGCATCCTTCTCTGTCTTGTATATTCGCAGCATCCTTCTCTGTCTTGTATATTCGCAGCATCCTTCTCTGTCAACGACATTCTCAAGACTCTTAATTCTACACAACATTCTCAACATTCTTCTCTTACGGGGACATTCTCAACACATTTCCTTGTACTAAACATTCTTAACATTCTTCTCTTACGGGGACATTCTCAACACATTTCCATGTACTAAACATTCTTAACATTCTTCTCTTACGGGGACATTCTCAACACATTTCCTTGTACTAAACATTCTTAACATTCTTCTCTGTCCAGGATATTTAAAGCATCCTTTCATCTACCCAATATTCTCATCATTATTTTTACAGGATAAACCGTCACCTCGTAGAGGTTACAGCACTACATGATCCCTGCTGGGCCCATCCCAGAGGTGACAGGAGTGCAGACCCTTCCCAGAGGTTAAAAAACTACACGACCCCTTCCCGGAGGTTACCGGATTACATGATCCCTCACAAAGGCTATCTGTGTACATGACCCCGACTGAAGGTTACAGTTACACATGCCCCTAGAGTGAGTGCTGGATCGGTACAGGGCCCAAACCAGGGAGCTTCGGGGGTATAGGTTCATAGCCTGAACTTTAAAGATGTAACAGACCCCTGGATATCAGAAATCTATCGTGAGAGATATTGGGACCTCATTAAGTAACATCCCCAATGACAGCGGTGGGTTCATTGAAGTCAACCTTCCTTGTGGAGACAGCCCACAAGTGTGTTATACAAAATAAAATAAAATGTTTGAAAGACTTCAGTTTCACGTTGTCGAAGGAACAGGTATCTGCGTTGTATTTTTCGACATCTGGACACTGTCTGTTTTCTGTGGTGTTCCGAACATAACATTTCTAACAGTTTGTAAATATTTAGTAAATGAAACTTCTCCTAAGCGTAACCATTTACACTTGGAATGCAGAATGTTGATCTCGTCTGTCCATTTTCCCGGCGGGATGACAAGTTGTTTGTCCTTCAGCTGGGTCTTATCGCAAAATGAATGCACTTTCTTCAGCAGAGTTTCAAATTCTTTGACCTCGCCGAAAAGACCTCTTTCTGCAGAAATTTTCTCCTTGAACACCAGTAAAAAATGGTGATACAGCTGACTATCAGCTGTTGAAATCTGTTTATGCTGTTGTCGATACAGCTGTAATGTTTCATTACTGACAGACAGTTTTTGACCAGATGCTAGCTTTTTGTAATATAAGATGTCTGCGGTTGTCCAGTGCAAGGTTCTTTTGAGCAAAATCAGCGATTCGTGGAAGTAATCCGTGATTAGCACCAAGTGAAAGCGTTTTTCTGTCTGGCTTATGAAAGACCTAATGTAGGTCAGGTCATGAAATGGATGGCTTAAATTAAAACCCAAGTCCATCGACTGGCGGTTATTGGTAAAGCTGGCGTACCTTTTAGTTTCGTATTTCTGAGGGTCTGCCAAAAAGGACGCCAGAGGGTCGGACGTATTTATACGTTTCAAATATGGGAACTGGTCGACTTCCCGAAAATAGGTAAATGAGGAGATAAAATGGCGGAAAGGTTCTCTTAAAGTAGTGAATTTAAATGTGTCGTTGTGCAAGTATTTGAAGATTTTCTCATCGTAGACGTGGTGGTTGAAGACCATGTCGTATTTGCTGATGTTGTCGTGGAGCACCACCTGGCTGGGGTGGAATGGAGGCCTCAGGTTGATGTGAGTACCCGAAGGCAGCAGGGCCAGGAGCTGGTGCGACCTGCAGAATTCTGCTAAGATTGAGTACATCGTCGTGCTGCCTGTCTTGTGGGTTTTGAGATAATAGACATGCTGGACTGGCACCTGCAGCCCGTGGCCGTTGGGTCTGGCAGCTGGTTCCCCTCGAAAGACTAGCGTCATAGAAGTTAGAGACGGTAGTAGGGAAGTCCTTGGGCTGTGTAAGATGAGACAGGTGTAGACGACTGCACTCCATGTGACTACGATTCCTAACCTGTTTCAAGACATGGTAATAAATTATTAAAAATGTACTTTTCACTGCTGAGGTATAGGAAAACAAAAATACTGCTATTCTATCAGCTGTGAACTTTGAAGTACACTGGCACTTAAACACTTTCCATAAATCAGCATCACAGAAAGTCACAAAGCTTGTAAAGAAAAACATTAAAATGCTGGATCATGGAAGTTGAGATCAGTGTGGACTAACACAAAGGTGAACACAGGGCAGTGTCAAGTCACAGAAACGTGTCTGTGTGTCTGCATATCCACAGCTGCAGGGGGGAAAAGGCAGGTACTAAACATAAAATGAACAAGCGCAAAATAAACCATTTAGATGTTTCAAAAACAGGCTGTGACAGAAAGTGGAAATACGAGCTGCTGGAGAGTGGAAGATGCGAAAATGCGAGCTGTTAGAGAGTAAAAGTTGTGGGGAAAAAAAAAACAAGCTTTACAGAGTGGAAAATGTGGAAATAAGAGCTATTAGAGAATTAAAGATGTGGAAATACGAGCTATAAGAGACTGGAAGATGTGGACATGGGAACTATTAGAGACTAGAAGGTGTGCTAGTACTAGCTATTAGAGAGTAGAAGATGTGGAAATACTAGCTATTAGAGAGTGGAAGTAGGAGCTGTTAGGGAATGGAAGATGTGGAAATACGAGCTACTAGAGAGTGGAAGATGTGGAAATACTAGCTATTAGAGAAGTAGGAGCTGTTAGAGAATGGAAGATGTGGAGATACGAGCTGTGAGAGAGTGGAAGATGAGGAAATACTAGCTATTAGAAAGTGGAAGATGAAATACAAGCTGTTAGAATGTGGAATATGTGGGGGTACGAGCTGAGATGTTAAAGAGGGGAAGTCGGAGCTGATACAGAATGGAAGATGTGGGATACGAACTGTGAAAGAGTGGAAATGCGAGCTGTTAAAGTGTGGAAGAAGTGGAAATGCTAGAGAGTGTGAGATTTGAAGATACGAGCTGTGAGAGAGTGAAAGATGTGACGATACGAGCTGTGAGACAGTGACAGATGTGACGATACGAGCTTTGAGAGAGTGAAAGATGTGACGATACGAGCTGTGAGAGAGTGAAAGATGTGACGATACGAGCTATGAGACAGTGAAAGATGTGACGATACGAGCTGTGACAGAGTGAAAGATGTGACGATACGAGCTGTGAGAGAGTGAAAGATGTGACGATACGAGCTGTAAGACAGTGAAAGATGTGACGATACGAGCTGTGAGAGAGTGAAAGATGTGACGATACGAGTTGTGAGAGAGTGAAAGATGTGACGATACGAGCTGTGAGACAGTGAAAGATGTGACGATACGAGCTGTGAGAGAGTGAAAGATGTGACGATACGAGCTGTGAGAGAGTGAAAGACTTGAAAATACGAGAGTAGAAGATTTATTATAATAAATGTGATGGAAGCCGTGAGTAACAAGACAGCGTTGTAATAAGACAATATAGTAGCAAGAGGATATAGTTTCGAGACAATATAGTGTCAAGACAATATATAATTAAGACAACATAATAACAAGACAATATAGTGATAAGACAGTATAATAATAAGACAACATAGTGACAATGCAATATAGTAACAAGACAATACAAATGGTGGAGTAGCGATAACAGGGTCTGGTTGGTTTGCAAATGAACAATTAAAAAACAATTTTATGTACAAAATAATGGAGGCCTCATTAGAAGGATAGTGCTCTCATACAACATCATGTTACTTTCAGTATTTGTACACTAAATACAGTCACGACTTTAAGCACACCAGTTGAAACATATTTACTCGCTGCGGAGATGTGGTTTTTGAGGAAAATGCAAAGAATGTCAGGAAATAATGGGGGAGGGGGACGAGTCAGAGTTCCTCGAAACAGAGGAAGTCAGTTAACTAATGAGAAACATTATTTGTGGTCGGACACATAAAAAGGAATGGACTCCAGAACCTGGTAACGAACGGCAAGATTGATGGAGAGAGAGAGAGAGAGAGACAGAGACGGAAACAAAGAGAGAGAGAGAGAGAGAGAGAGAGAGAGAGAGAGAAAGAAAGCAATAGGAAGGCAATAAGATAAATACCTGGATGGTTCGGCCATATGAGTAGGGCGACCATGGCAACCAGAGCTGAAAACGGGACATCCCAGTAATATTTTGAGCTGAAAACGGGACAACCCAAGCAAGTCAATGTAAACCCCCTCCCCCCCCCCCCCCCCCCCCCTTTTTCCCATTTTTTTAAATTCCAGAATTAATTATCAACATTATTATTATTATTATTAACATTTTTTTAATTAGTTAGGAAACTAATAAACTTTAAAGCCAGGGGTATATACAGGCACAAAACTGTTTAAGCTATAATCAATAATAAACAAACACATGCTACAATGAAAATACCTATCGGGACATTTCAGGCATTAAAAGTGTTTGAAACTATCTTATGTAATACATTCTACAGATATTTCTATAAGTGTATGTTTTATGCTCCAGCAAATTCGTGCATTTGCATAAAACGGGGCAGCGGACGAGTCCACCGACAGGACGTTTGGGACACGCTGACAACTGTAGGGCTATGCAGGTGAAAACGAAACGTATGGTCGCCCTACGTATGAATGTGCAAAGTCAAGGACATTGACCTGATTCGTGATTCTGGTATGGGATGGAAAAACATGATAGCCCACGCGTATCGGCACGGCACATTATGATGACGAAGAAAAAGTGGATGGGACTTACCACTTGAAGCAGTTTGCCACATTCGTTGAGCACAAGCGTTGGCTAGAGACCCGCATGGACTTTCTCTTATTGGCCTCTCTCGACATCATCTGATGCTGTCTCTATGGGAGAAGTAATATAACAACTTTGAGTTGAGCCGAGTTTTAAGAGCTTACATCATAGCACTTGGGACATTCGCATAAACGTTACGTCCCCATCTTCAACAGTCAGGTGACAGTAGTCACCTATTTTTGGCAGTCCTCTACGATAAGTATTGGAACACGTCTCTGACGAAGCAACACAGAAAGAAATGGAGGACTGGTCCATGTACCTCATGTGAGGAATAAACGGCACAACATGATAATGATGATAAAATTGGTAATGATAATGATGATAATATTAATGGTGATTCTGATGAAAAATGCAAATAATTATGAAAGTGGTGATAATTATTAAAATGATTATGATAATGATATGCACAAGTTATGTGGTCAAGTCCCAGAACAGTGTGAGCTTTCTTCTTCTTCTTCTTCTTCTACATTGAAACTCAAAGGGCGGTTAGCGTTTTGTGGTTTATAGCTAGACCTCGATATATGTGTATTTCATTCTTTAATATCTGATTTAAGCGAAAGTCTAATTAGTCATCTTACGACACACTTCTAACGGGCAGTGGTTCTATCCCCACCCTCTCCCTCTCCAATGATATACCCACATACACCACACGGGGAGTTTCGTTCTCTGATCTCGCACTGAAGTCAGGTATTCTGTGGTATCCCAAGTCACGCTCCATAGATGACATTTGCAACGTGCAAACTGGAACCAACTCTATCCGGTCGACAGACAGGACAGTACTAGCCGCGAGAGTATTAGCCGCAAGAGCTAGCCACAAGCAACTTTTAACCAAAGCGATAGAAACTGATGACCAATCTACAAAAGCCATCAAAGTAGCTGCAGACAAGGGAAGAAAATGGCCTAGGCGTGCTTTCCAGTTCGCTCGCCTATCTAGGCCAAGAAATTCCATACGAGTGGCAAACAGGATTGATCATACCATTATGGAAAACCAAAAAGAGTAAGAAAGATTGCACTATTATAGAGAAGTGTCACTACTACGCTACACGGGGGAAATGTAAGACAAAATTATTTGAACGAAGATTAAGACGAGTGTTGGAAGGACAGATCTTAGAAACCCAGATGGGATTCATAGGAAGCAGAAGCTGTACAGATGTTATATTTATATTGCCACTGCTACAGAAAGAGGGTAGAATATGATAGGACCTAGAAAGTCGCATGTATAGACCAGGGAAAAGCTTTTGATAAAGTAAATATGGATATGGATTTAGCAAATATCGTTTAGATGTATGCCAGAGTTTATATACATCAAGTAAAATTTGTATACGTAAGAAAGGTTAGGTACATACAAATTTTTCGAAAAAATTCATGAGTGACCGGAATGTGTGATATCTCTCCTACTTGTCATACTCGTACACTGATAGTTTACGCAAAGAAGTTGAAAGAAAGAAAAATAAATGAAGATATTATGGAATTATAATGTGAAAGAGAAAATTAAACCTATACACAGCGTGGCTTTTGTTTGCAGCAAAGGTTTGAATTCGTTTTCCAGTGACCTTCTGTCACAATCTATGTCTCAGTGACAGGAGTAGAGGAGGAATTTATTCATGGCCATGAAGGTTCTACAATAAATTATCAGACAGGAGGATGAGTGTAAACCGGGGTGGGGAGGGGGGGGGGAGAGCAATCTGTGGCCCGCCGAGCACTTTTTACTGATGCGCGAGGCTGGTGTAAAACTACTATGTATTTCTCCCCCCCCCCCCCACCCCTTCCCAACACCAATTCCATCCCACTTTCCCTCAATAATAATGATTAATGCAAATGTCTTCAACAGACACATTCAGGAATACATAGAAGCGCTTCGGTGTGTGAGTATGTCCGACCAGAAGCATAGCAAATGAAAAATAATCTTAGATTCTTCATCGTCTTCTTCTTCCCTAGTCCGTACAGCCTTTCAGGGTCAGGTTTTGAAGAGGCATCGGCTGAGAGCCTCAGTTATGTACTAAGCTGGTACTCTATTTACGGCCTCTAATATTCCATCTATACATCGCTTGCGTGGTCGAAATTTGGTTTTGCTACCATTATTTCTAAGTGACAGAGCTGTCTGTGGTGTACTGTCTGCTAAAAGTC